AAGAAAACCACCTCTGAAAAAAGTCCATTCATGTTGAGAAGGTCCTAGCCGCACCACAGCAAGATCCCGCCGCCGCCATCAAACCCAGCAGGGACCTGAGGTGCCGAGCGACCACTTGGGGCCCGCCAGAACCTCCCTGGACAGAACGAGTGTACAGTACATCCGTTTGTCCACGGACAATCATGCACGGAAATAACAAGATCAAGCTTGTAGGCTCTAGATGTGGAGATTACATGCCTGAGCTTGCAGCAGTTTGCTATTACTCACCTGTTCATTCACCCACAAAGCACAGGGGCAGCAGTATGTGGGACAGTACCCACGCCGAGTTACTCCACCTGGTCCCCATTCCCAGGATGGAGGCCATGTATTAACCAATCGCTATGAGTTTAAACTCTATCTCATGACCCCACGCGCGTCTAAGCGGCTCCCAATGTCCGCCATCCACTCATATAGAGAGGTCGCGAGGCGCGAGTAGGCTTACCCGAAGGGGAGACGGCATACATTCGTATTTCCCTCTCCCACGATGCGAATCGCAGGAACTCCTGTGTACCGGAACTATCTGCACGTGGAAGAAATGGTCAGTCAGGACTATGGGAGACAACCATACACCCTGCCGACACACTCGCTCGAGGAGTCTTGTTTTGTGGACAGCATACCGAAACTGGCCGATTGGGAAATGCACACGTTCAGAACGTCCAAATCCAAAAAGGGACGCAAACGCCGCCTGACTAACTAAAGGCACCAAAAGTAAGGTGAGAACAGCCCCCTGGTGCGTCCTGTAGGGTCCTACCTCCACTTCTGCGCCCTCGACTCAGTAGAGAGTAGACCTCCGCTTGAATAGCCCTGTAATGAACATGTACCTGAGAGCTGTGCAGCCTGAACGCCTCGGAATGGAAGTGGCTTTCGGAATGAAATGCAGTGCGAAACCCCTGCGCAATGGTTAATTCTCCCCGCCATGGATTCCGTCAGCAATCCCTGCTCCCACCATATGCTGTAAGAAGTCCTGTGGGGGCGGCACGGGAGCTGGAAACACAGACGTCACGGCCTGCCCCGCCCTCTCCTGGTGAATCCAAGCAGGGAGGGGGGTGGACGAAAGGGCCAGGGGGGCCCCCCTGCGTCATACCGTGTGCTCCATGGCGGTCACGGTCCTGCAGGCCCCGACGTCATAATTACGGGTCTGCTCATAACCAAGTGGCCTTGACTGCATCGACCCCCTCTGGCTCTTGGCCCATCGAGGGTGGGGCGAGCCTCTGGAGTGGGAAACCCCCTGTGTTAGCCTCGTAGCTCAGAGGGGCAAGCACTTTGTTCGCCGAAGCACAGACACATAACGACCCACCAGATCCCTCCGCCTAGGACCCTCTCTCTGGGAGGACATAGCAAGGATCAGAGGACCGAGCTCGAAGCACCTGCATAGCGCACTGCAACACACCCTGCTCCAGGGGGTTGCAGGCCTAAGAGAAGCAACGTTATGAGCCCGGAAGTAACACAAACAGATTGCACATCAGTCATGTTACGTCCCCCCAAATGATACTCAGACAACGATATTACTAGACAATTGCCGGTCGCCTTTATAGAAATAATTCCTTGCCACCACCCCAGACCTCCACTGCCATATGGGAGGCCTGGCGGTGGGTGCATGTGCTCCCCTCGAGCCACCCGTGGGTCTGTCTTGACCCCGGGGGCCACGTCGAGGGAGGACGAAGGCCACAGAGCGCGGATACGGTTCAGGACGCCGTCCCGTGCGTCGCTCACTGGCCTCCGTCCCGGCTCCTGTGATGGTGTATGCGGCCTCGCGCCTACGTTGCAAGGATGCGGGGCTAGCCTAGCCTAGTCGTAGGCTGCAGACTCCAGTCACGTGCCACCAGGTCCAGCATGTCCGGGGCCGAAGAGGGACTTCTGGTAGATATGCAGGTCGCAGCAGCATGCCTCATCTCCGCCTCCCAGATATTATCCAGCCCAATGCCAAATGTCCAGTCCTGCACGCTGCAGTATAATCGTACCCCAGATCAGGCCTCATCTGCTAGGGGCTATGGCCACTCCCCCGTGTCTCTGTAAGGACGATACGGGTCCAATCCGCGGGCACAACGTGGGTTGTATCCTCTTCCACCCTCTAGTGGTGGTACCGCCACAGAGGTGAAGTCCTCCTCCACCCGTCTGAACCAGCAACGACGTTCCGAAGCTCCGGAGGGCGAAGGGAACTCGTGACGAACAATGGAAGACATCACAGAATTAAGTAAGTACTGTGGTAGATCTCAATCGGCCTTCATGTTGTGCCTTCATGTCCAGTCGCTCTGCAGTTCCATTATAAACTCATTTGTGTGTTTGGTCCATCTGCCTGTCCGCCTGTCTCGTCTCCGTCTGACTCGTTTCCTCGTTTGAAAAGTGAATTATTTCAGTGAAGTGACTTTGAAACGTTTTTGAACTCTTCACCTCCGGACAACAATGACCATGAAAGCCCAGAACAAAGGACGAAAAGCTGCATTGAGACGTGGGCTGCACCTGGTCTTAGCAACAGCAGCACTTTAGTCTCTGGGGTTTTGGTAAAGTGGATAAGATCAAAAAGGTCAACAGAAGTGGTATTACATGAATTATGAAATCAAGGAAAAAAATAAACATTTCAATATGGAAAAACATGCTAAATGATCACATATCATCCGAAAACCATCCCACAGCAGAATCCCTCTGTCCCTGGTCACCACTTCTTAAATCACTCCACCCCACTGCCAGGTAATTCTAAATATGTACTTATTTGTTAAAAATCCTTCTAACGGGTATACATATATATATAACTGTGTTCATATGTTTATATAACTAGTTGACTATGTATATATCTATGTGTTTTTTATATAAAGGTGTGTACATATGCATATCTATCATACAGTATTCATAACATCGTGGTTTCGCAGTAGTATTAATAGCCAAATAGTATAATACAAGTATTATTATTATTCTTATCATCGTTATATAATTTAAATATATAGTATAGTTATTACATTCTATAGGATTATGATAGTTATATACCAAAGTTGTTATAGCCATTACTCTTAGTTAAAACTAGTAAAGCAATTGTTATTATTATTGATATTATTTTTTTTAGCAGCAGTAGTACGAAAAAAAAAGTAAGGGAAGAGTAATGGCAGTAACGATTACAATATCTATATGACATTTAAAGGGAAGGGAAGAAGAAAGGGAGGGAAAAAGGGACAGGGAAAAAAGAACAAAACAAAAGAACAAGGGGAAGGGAAAAGAAAAAAAAAAAAAAAACTGGGCTCCCTCATCTGCACCTTGCTCCACCCCTTGGGTTTTTTAATGCACCACATACAACACAATGTTTTTAATGCACCACACAAGAGCACAGGTGCAGATTGGGGTTCTGACATTTGAAAAAGTATACCTTACTATTTATAAATAATCTTATAATGAGTAATTTATTTATAAATATTTAAACAATAGTGAGTGTATGTAAGTATGTGTATATATGCATGTATATATATATGTATACATATATTTAAATACTACATTGATGTGTATATAAATTACAAAAATACACACTAAGAATAACAATCTGATTCAGTAAAGCTGATAATGCTGCTGCGGCTACGTGACTTTCCCGTGTATTGAACTGTCTTATCTATTAATTATTATCATCTATATGTGTGGGTACGTGTGTATGTATGTATGTATATGCGTAGGTATGTTTATTTATATATGTATATATGTGTATTTCTTTATTATTATTATTACTGTTTCATTTGTTTTTTTTTTTTTTTTTATTATGTCAATATGTGCCCTGCCTGTCACTACTTCACATCGCCATCTCTTCCCCATTATTGCAATACTATGTCCTTTCTATTATATTCTTACTATTACTATGCTCCGATATTATAATTATAATTACTTAACTCATATTATTACTGTCATCACTACTCTCATTATTATTACTATAATGGCAAATATGTCACTATCTTTATCTTTGTTTATTTCACTCATCAAAGCTTATCTAAGAAATTGACTCATGTAACATACACCTGAACACACTACACGCGCACTACACACATCCAGACACTACACGCATCCAGACACTACACACATCCACTATGCACAGCCACCATAGGCCCTCGGGGTCAATTTGTATCGGTCTAGCCCCCTTCCCTTTTGTGTTGCTCCCCAGTATGTGTGTTTTGTAAAGCTTTGTTTGTATGTTTGCATGTATGTATAAATAAAAATAATAAAAAAAAAAAAAAAAAAAAGAAGTGGTATTACATAAAACATACATACACACACATTCAAATCCGCTTCACTGTCATTAATTGCTGGGTATCGCTACATTTCTGTCTGGTATGTGTACTTTTTCAGTACCTGCTTTTCGGTGTACTCAATGTATTCTTGTATAACCCTAAATCACAACAGTAGTTATCTCAGAGGACTTTAAAAAACCGTAGAATTCTCCAAGACAGATCAGAGAATAAAACAGATAAAACACAAGAAATTCCTTTTTCCAGTTTTATTTCCATTCCACTTTTACATACTGTAGAGCATATTTGATAAACAAAAAGTTTCCAAAGTGCTGCACAGAAAATATAAAACTACAGCAGAACACTCACAATGGAGAATCCAAGTACATCATGAACAGGTACCGTTCATGACGTTCAGCGACCCCGCTCCCATCTCTGTGTGGAGTGAGAGACTAATGCCCAAAAATTAACAATTGTAAACCGCTTTGAGACTCAGATCTGCAGTGAAAAGGCGGTATATAAATGATTACTTACTTACTTACTAGTTAGTTTTGTTAGTTTGGGAAAATTCTCCAGTCAAATGACATTCTTTCTAGATATATCGTGTTTCAAACATTTTATTGTATGTATTGTCCTTTCATTTTGTTCTTTTCAAAACCATTCAAAAATAATATTCTTAAATTTATGTCTGAGGGACAAAATGAAGAGTATTATTCCTGTTTTGATATTGAAGTGTGATGGAGCGCTTGCGTGTGGTTGACCCAGGTGCAGACTTGCCCACCTCCACGGGGGCCCTGGATGAAGACCTGGGGAAGGACGCTGACTGGGAGGAGGAGCGGGAGCAGGAGAGGAGCGCCTGTCAGGGAGACGACTTCATACCTCCCAAAATCATGGTGAGTCAATATTGTTCAAATATAGCAAATGTGTTTAAAAAAAAAAAATGTGAATACATTTTAAATTGCTTGTAACGGGTACATTACTCCACACTATACCACCCAACTCCCCCTTCACTGCTGTAGAATATTTTTACCCAGAGAAAGAATACAGATATCTCCGTTTTGAGAATTTGTCAAAAAATTGGTATTACTCTCAATCTGAAAGGATTTCCCCAAAATGTGTGAAACATTCTTTGTATGGCACGACAATAGATCAGGCTTTTCAAAAACTACTTGATAAAGAGCAAATTGTGAGCATTTCAGCTATTTTTCTAATGTTCTACTTATTTGTATCTCACAATATTCTCAGGAAGAGAATATCATATTTCTCCATTCCTCAAGCAGAGTTCTGACCCCTGCTCTGTGTACAGCTCATTTCATCCAAAGTCCCTAAGGCGGAATATGTTCCCAACATCATCCGGAGAGACGACCCATCCATCATCCCTATCCTCTATGTGAGTGACAAACACACACAACACACACACACACTGCGACGTGACAACAAAGTGGAAGAACGTTTAAGGATTACTTTAATGATTATGCTGACTATTGCTTTGATCTTTAGACTTCAGCAGATACAGTATACAGCAGGACATATAGAGGAGGTACTGTGGAGGAGGGGGGTTGCTACATGAGCTGAAAGCAGATAGTGATGAGGAGGTGTGTAGTAGTGGGGAGTGAAGTGAGTTGAGACAGTGACCATAGATATTCAGGGTCCTGGATTCCACCAGTAACCCTATTATTGCTCCTTACTGATGACATCCATCCGCTCAATAATAGTGCTTTATTATGGTTTTATAAAATGTACAGTATATAGATTTTACAACACAATAGCAAGGCGCAGCAAGTTTATCCGTATAGCACAGTCCATACACATAAGGCAACAAAACAACATCATAAATTATCACCGTACATTGAATACAGTGAAGATACAATCCTTCAGTTGTTGCATCAAAACAGAACTGTTTTTAACCTGGATTCGAACACTGTCAGAGTAGGAGCCGGTCTCACATTTTCCGAAGTTCCAGATCTAAATAAACGTGGTTAATAATACTTTTACAATCACGTGCTGTTGATTAGACGACCGTGGACCGGGGCTGCACACCTACACGCCTCCGTTCTGAACCTGCTCTAATGAGGGAATAATGCTCTTTCTATTGTCTATTTTTAGGACCACGAACACGCCACGTTTGACGACATCCTCGGTGAGTGTGACACGAGCAGCATCCTCTCACGCCGACATCAGCTGCAGCAGTTATCTGCAGAGAGAGCATGACTCACAGTGTGGTTGTAGAATCTGAGAAGCTGTAGGTTTAAACTCGCTTCTTTTGGCTTCGTATGATCCATGACATCTGTGGCTCATGGACACAGTATATTATATTTAGTAGAGACAGATATGGTTTTGTTCAGGGCTGATACCCATAAAGTAGTCAAGGAAGTAAGCATTTTTTTAAATTTTTAATGAATGCTGTGCTGAGTAATTCTTTCCATCCATCCGTTCATCCGGGGGGTTTTCAGTTAGAGCTTCACCCAATTCACAGAGCACCAACCTGCAGGTGGTGAGTCCATCTGCAGTCTCTGTCAGTCACAACACAGCCTTGATCTTTAAATGTTTTGCCCAAGGGCATAACGACAGCAGACATCAGTAGGATTCGTTGGAGAAGGTCATCCTTCGGGTTCAAAGGCCAATGCTCTACCAACTGAGCCACTGTTACCCCATGGAGAAACTTGTACACTGTGGTTTCATTCCTTCAAGCAAATATGACTACGCAAAACTGGCAAATCATGCGCAAATGTAAAATTCATAACAGAAAAAATACAGTTAAACACTAAAAACATTAAGCCCACTGGTGTGAAAGAATGTTTAAAACATTCTTTCATTAAGACATGACTCGCTCAATAATAACCGGGACTGTGAACATAATGAGGTAAAACAACTGTAAATAGGGCAAAAAGTGGAAAAAGCATGTCAGAATGACACATGGCTCTCTTTCTGTGTGTGTGTGTGTTTGATGTTTGTATGTGCTTGTGTGTGTGTGTGCAGAGGAGATAGAGAAGAAGCTCACTGCCTACAGAAAGGGTTGTCGTATATGGAACATGCTCATCTTCTGCCAGGTGAGTCCAAACGCTCGTCCTGGGAATCACACCAGCAACTGTATACTTTGGTGCTAGGCCATGGAGACACGTGTACACAAGCAGAGATGTCTATTCTGCAATCAGATGTAGACAAAGGACTCAGTGTAAGAATAGATTTCTACATCCTCATTATCTGTAGCGTGTCAAACTACCGCCTGCCCCTCTTCGCTGAATGCCACTTGAAAATAATGACGGAAATGTGAACTTCTCAAAGCTTTGAGTGGAAAAGAGGAGCAGAAGACCGAGGCCAGGAGCAGATGGCCATAAAGCTGCAAAAAGGCATATTAATCGTGTAATGTGGGGGTATTAGAAGGGCGTATGAACGAAGGAGGAGTGGAGCTGCCAACTGGAAGCTTTCCAAAAAACCAAAGTTTATAAATCGGCCATTAATCATCTCTTGGTCATGACATGTTTTTGCATCGGTAACATCTCATGGAGCATTTAACCGTGACAACAGTCATGTCATGAGAGATGTAAGGGGTAGTTAAAGAAGACTTAAAGGACGACTAAACAGCAGTCTTACTCCACCCACATGAACATTTTAATATTCTCTCTAAAAGGGCCTGGAGGACCAGGGGATAAGAATGGGGGCTTAGAGTTAGGTGGGGTCTGTCTGGGCTGTGATTGACAGCTTGCTTGTCAATCCCAGCATACACAAAAAAAACATTTCTGGAGAAAGCGATTTCTCCAGAAATGTTCATTCCACCCTTGTTTACACACCCTGAGATAATGGTATAGCCAGACAGCTGAACCTAAGCCACAGAAGCAGTAGTGGCGGTCAACTGATGTAATTTATTTTTTTTAAACTGGTTGTCGCCTGAATACTCGTTACGGGGCGTGTGTGAGACTTGGATGGTTTTATACCACAGACTCAGAGCGACAACTTCACACAGCACAAAGTGACGTCACACATCACTAAAAAGCCAATGGAGAGCCCAGGAACCTGAAAATGTAGAGAGCGTGCCACACAGACGGTTTTAGGTTCAAAAGTGACATTTTATCTATTTTGCACTTAATTGTAAAATAATGTACCTGGACATGTAGAGAGCACTATAAGAAATATATTTATGCAGTTTATAAGTAAAAAAAAGTTGATTTGGTGCTTAGTTGTCTTTTAACTTTTTACTGTTGTCAGCTATACAGTGTTAAACTACATCACCCATGGCTCATTGCTGAACATTTACAGTACATAGGCCAAGAACCATAGGCCAATATCCCAATGTGAACTTAGAAATAATTCATCTTTTTTATAGTGCCTTTCACCGACCAGTCACAAAGCTCTTTACACTTGCTGAAGAAGTTTCTTATTCGCCCCACAATGGGGAAAATTCTGGGCCAATGCTCTACCAACTGAGCCACTGTCGCCCTCAGGCATTTGTTTCTCACTCCACACAGAGATGGGAGTGAGGTCACCATACAGGAGCCACATGTCAGACCTATTGTACATGTTTTTAGTGGTAGGGGAAACCGGAGCACCTGGAGGAATCCTACGCAAACACGGGGAGATCATGCAAACTCCACTCAATGGGCAGTCACTTTGCCATATTCCATGTGTGTGAATGATCTTGAGGTGAAGTCTTGTGGCACTCTGTTCTTGTCCCAGCTCTATTATACGAGTCATCTGCCCCTGGACAAGTCTGGTGAAATAAAGTGGCCCTCTTACTGAAAAGTTTGGACACCCCTGCTTTATGCCACTGTCCACTGTTGATTCATAATGTCTGATTTGTTTCAGGGTGGACCAGGACATCTCTACCTGCTGAAAAATAAAGTAGCCACATTTGCCAAAGTGGAGAAGGAGGACGATATGATCCAGTAAGACATTTCTTCACAATAATAGTTTATAATACGAGCAAAGAAATACAAGTTGGACTCAGTAGCTTAAACTGCTTTTGTGTAGGTTTTGGCGGAGGTTGAGCCGACTGATGAGCAAACTGAACCCGGAGCCAAACGTCATACATGTGATGGGGTGTTACGTTCTGGGCAGCGCCAACGGGGAGAAGGTACTGTAGGCTCCAGGCGTTTAATTTGATATGTAAAGTAAAGCAGACACATTTGAAAACATTTGTTCTTTGCTCTTTTAACCACGTTACAACAATGTTCACAAACACATCCCCCCGCCTTTTCTGTCTGAATGCTCCTGTCTCAAACATCCTTACACTGATGGGTTTCTGGCTTCTAAAACCAAAGTTACCTTTGGATCCTGAAAGACCGTCGGAGCCTCCGTGGTCATCAATTCAATATTAAAGATTCAAACATGTCTTGTCATTGTCTTCCCCTTTATTAATCCATTTCTTGGTCGGGGGGGTGGCAATCAGAGCTGCCACCCAAGTCTCATAGCACCAGTCCCTCACTGATCCTCCTGCAGGTGGTGGTTCCACAGGAAGATTGCTTCTCCGTCATCAAAAGATTCAAACAGTTCAAGTTAATGAATTTCCCGTATCATCTCTGTTTTCAGACCCTCCTGCATTAACTGCTAAAAAAAAGTGATCAAAAATTAAGATTGGCAGACCCACATTGAGAGAGGGATAAGCTGTAGATCCATCCATCCATTTTCCATCCATTTTCTACCCTTTAATCCATTGTCAGGGGGGTGGCAATCAGAGATGCCACCCAAGTCTCATAGCACCAGCCCCCCACTGACCCTCTGCAGGTGGTGAGTCCACAGGAGGACAACTGCTCTCTGAGTGTGAGCATAGCCTTGATCTTTCAGTGAGGGCTTTGGGCAAAGTGGGGTTAAGTGTCTTGCCCAAGGACACAACGACAGCAGTCATCAGTGGGAGTCGGTGGAGAAGGTGTAGAGGTGGGAATTGACCCCACGACCTTCAGGCCTGAAGACCAATGCTCTACCAACTGAGCTACTGTCGCCCCCAAGCTGTAGATCCATTCTTTTTAAATCTTTTTGAATGTGTTTTTATGTAAGTCTTTCTGGTATAGACCTTTTACTCTTGTGTCCAAAATAAAGTATTGAATTGAATTGCACAGACGACAGCTGAAGTCATATTGATGACAGATAAAGTAGGAGAGAAAATAAGATAGTGTTCAAGTTTCCATACTTCTCCAGCAAATGCATGTAACACAATGTTGCTCTCATTGTTTCTAATAGAAAGCGAAGGCTGAACCTTTGTCTTTATAAAGTTACAGTGGTTAGAACTACAGAAACCTGCTGTTCGTCTCCCAACCCCCCTAAACGCTCTCACGCGCTAGCTAAAGCAGGTTGCCACAGACGCCTGCTGTGTGCGCTCAAAAAGCAGTTCTTTGGGCAAGTTCTTCACTCAACTCTGACCATGAAAAATTTATTCGCTCCAGCTGCTGACTTTGACACCACAAAAGACACCAGTGGAGCACAGCCGATACTCAGCACTTTCCCCCAAGCGCCTGCACTACATTCAGCACTCAGTTAGAGTCAAGAAAGCACTCACACACTGTGGTAGATGTGTTTATGATGTGTTATGATAGGAAGTAAATGATAAATGAAGAAAAAACTCAGTTCAAATCAATGTATTTGTGAATTGCCCTAATTCACAACAGCAGTTGTCTCGGAGGACTTTACAAAGTTGTTGATTCACCAACAGATCAGAGACTCAAACCGGTCAAAAACAGGAAATACATTAGCAGTAAACTGTCATTGGTTTATAGGGAGTAGGATGACCAATGTTCATAAATGTTGATAAATGTCCGGATCACCACTGTCCTTAGATCGTCCTGCATCAGCAAGAAACCTCTCACAAACCCAGGCCCATTTTGAGAGAGGGATCATTTCACAGGTGCAGAAACCGTGGAATTGTGAGAGAAAAAAAATCTGTTGTTTTAGAACAATATTGATCTTTTGAAACCGTCTGATCTTACGTTCATGTTTTAGCTTTGTTTTACAACATTCCAGCAGATTCCAACACAACTCTATGGGAAAAAAATACATTTTAGAAATACATGTTGAAAAAGAAAATGTCCAAATGTTACCCAAACCATTATTTGATAGTGTTCATTTGCTTTTGTTTGTACTGTGAGGGGAGATCTCTGTGGTTGTGTCTTTAGGCAAGATATTTCACCCACATTGCCTGGACTGAGTCTGGTGTGTGACTGTGTGAATGGTTGGTGGTGGTCGGAGGGGCCGATGACATTTACTGGTTGCCTCGCTTCTGTCAGTGTGCCCCAGGGCAGTTGTGGCTACAATAGTAGTTTATCACCACTGTGTATGAAGTGAAAGAATTATGACATGTGAAGCGTCTTTGAGTGTAAAAACGCTGTATAAAACTAATGCCTTATTATTATTATTATTGTTATTACTTTGATACCCTTGTTCTCGACCATGCTCTTCTTATAATTATACCATAGTTGATTTGTTCTGTCAAAGAAGACAATCACTTTCTACAATGTGATATAGTAACCAAGGCCTGCAGTGAGAACATATTTATTCTCAGTTGTGAACTTGTGTCTTTTGGGGCATCTTAGTGCTTCTTCCTCCACTCACACACACACGCACACACTCACACACTCGCACACACATGTCCACAGACTGAAATATTCATGTGGTCATGCGGCACTCGACCTCAGCCTTACGCTCGATTACACCGACAGCCGAGCGGTGGGAGAGCATCTATGTAGACACCGCAAACAGCAACATGGATTTGAGTGAAGGAGGCTCCAGGAGTGTGTGTGTGTGTGTGTAGGTGTGAGTGTGTGTGTGTGAGTGTGTTGCATTAGATTGATTGATTTTATGACATAGTTTTTTTCAAATTATGGTTGGAAAGTACAGCTTTACTAGGCCTGTGCTTAATGATGCATGCTGGTACCATGGATGCCCCAAACAAGTGCTGCGTTCTGGTTTTGTGTCGTAGGTGCGCAGTGGTTCTACTTCCGCAGGACCAGAGTGCGTTCTTACCAATCAGAGAGCTGCTGATCAGAGTGGAGCTAGAGCAGGACCAGAGAAAGTCGAGTTTGTTCTTGGACTGTTTTGATGTGGTACTGTAGATATAGGTTGCGTTCTAAGATCAATATCAGATTACGTTTATTTTCCATTTGCAGTAAAACCACTAAATAATAACTATGCAAGACTACCCCACCGTGCACCAGTACACACCGGAGCTCTTGCCACGTTTTTGTGCGTTGGAATTTCTGTACTTTCTTTTAGCTGTGTTTTTGTACGTATTTTTTGGTTTATAAAAAATACCGTTATTTCCGCTGTGCTCGCTAAACTACTGAGAAAATTGATAACTATGTAGAGGTCTGGGCTTGTATCTCAGCAGAAAACATGTTTTATTGTTGGTAATTGACAAACCCAGATTCACAGCGTTCATAAGATTTTATACCCAGCATCTGCCACCGGCAGATACATTTGCCTCGACCTTCAGACCAAAACATTAGGGGGAAAATCACTGACTTCTATAGACTGTTTGCACCGAAATTCTCATAAAAGATCCATACTTCATCATTTGCAAATCTGCCTCAGACTTTTCTTTTCTGTGCACAAATAGGGATGACGTCAGAGTGTTTACTTCTGTGTGTGCCATGTTTTGTGTGTGTAATGTGAGTACACACTGGCTACAAACTCCCTCACATCACTGGGTGGAGACTGCTTTGGGCATTTAATAAAACCAGTGCTCTCACAAAACAACAATTAGAGCTGGGACAAGCAGTGATTCAAACATAACATCATTATACTCAGGAAAAAGCCAGATCCTGTCAGACTTCTGAAATTATGCAGGACAATGCCTGGTTATTACTGTGATTGGAGACCTCCGGGAAAACCAGCTATTTGGTGGCGGTGAAGACGCTGAGACAGTAAAACGTTAGAGTTGGGTATCGGTTTGGCCTCCTGTTTACATGGTAATGGTGTTTCAGGGGGGTGAAGACAGCCTCCAGAGTGGAACAGAACAGATATGTGTTGCGCAGCAGGGGTTGTTTCACAGCTGTGTGAAGGAGTGAATTCTCTGCTGCTTTGACCTCCACTTTCCCGACGTACATTTGAACATGTGCAGAAGCTGAGAACAAACCTAAACAACAATGGCGGCGGGTACACCAACTAGCTACAGTATATGTGCTTCGAGCGCTACACAGAGGAGAATTTTACTTTACTTTCTCCGTCCAAACGAAACCACGCAAAGCTTTAGTTTCAGTTTCCATGTTCGTAGCTACTGTTCTACTTCTACTTTCATGTCTTTGTGGTGGCCCAAGGTGGATGTTGTTGAGGAAGTGATTATCCTGCTGGAAGGGCTGAGGATCGCGTGTGTCGTGTTGTACTGCCTCCTACTGGTCTCCGCAGCGTCTCTGTCTAAGCGGGGCCTGAGTCTGGTGTGTGTTTGAATGGTTGTTGGTGGTACTGTAGTAGTTTATGTGTATGGAGTGAACATCCAAAGAAGAACTGTAAAAAATACAATGCTATTTATTGTTTATCTTGTTTGTTACTTGGGTAAATTGTGTTTCTCAGAATACTGTTTCTCTGGCGTTCCATGTTTAAGTATGTGGATAAACATCTATAATGGAATAAGAATTGGTTTAGCAAAACACCCCATCTAGTGGTAGAAGATGGAAATACAATGCTGCTTTGTCTAATTTCGCCTTTTTAACCTATCACAGTGTAATAAAGACAAATAGTTGTAACAAAGGAAACATTTTCATGACATCACAGTCTGAGGAATATAGTGATAACCAAGTTTGAAAATAGAGTATTTATACAGAAGGGCTGGGGGAACGTGCTTGTGCCAGAAGTTCCTGATATTAGAGTGGATGGAGCTAAAAACCATGGCAGGTCTGTGACTGATGAGGAACAATGTTGTCACATGGTTACAAACAAATACATTTGGATATTGTAATTCCAAAATATATATAAAATAAAACTTACCAATTAATTAGCCAATAATATGAAAACAATATGCAAGTTGAAAAAAATGCATGTGCACAGGTATATACACAAGTACACATATACACACACACACATTACCACCTTGTTGTTAACTGGCCTCCTCCTGCACACTCAGCAGGAAGGAGGTTATTATTAGACCTA